TTTCCCTATTCCTTTGTATATATAGTACTTACGTCTCCTAAGATTCTAGCCCATGCATTATTAGAGTTTAAGGCAATACAAAAACCAACTGACACCTTGGTGTCTGTATAGATTCTATAATGGATTACACAATGTTTTCATCACGATCTGATCTTGCAAACATCAATCATGATGTTCTTATCGTATCTGATCTCTGCAAGAGAAAGCATGATAAGATCTGCCTAATAGTAGTGGAGTTGGAGACGGGTCAAGCCTGAGGTGCAGTGCCATCCCTGGTGGCCAAATAGGAGGATCCAGTCAGCCAGTCGGCCTATTTGTTGTTCTCTCCCATGCACTTCCTAAGTCATTTCAAGAGCTGCATATTTTTCAAGCATGGAGAATATATGAAAAGACCAATGCCATTGATTTGGTGGCACTCAGTTAGGACATGGGAAGCTTAGCAAGAGCTTACAAATGTACTCTCTTGGGACATCACTTGCTGATTATATGCTGTCACATATGGCCACTCAACCACAACATTTGGTGGGCCGGGGCAACACCAGGGAGTAATGGAACTTTAGTTGTTTAGTACTGTCAGGATCCATCAGATGGCCATTACCCACCTAAAGAATGAGAATGTATGATTGCAGTAGCTATTTGTGACAAAGGGCATACGTAATACTCGACGAGTTTTAAGGTACTACTAGTATTAGACTTTCTACACCTAAAAAGGTATTATACTTTGTGATCACTATACTCCTTAAGTGCATTCAAGCAAGTCCCCTCTGGAACCTAGGGCGCTGGTTCGCTGCCCCGCTTGCCCTTCTCCAGGGCCAGGTCTGCACACCACCATGCCATTCAGATCGCGAGTGATTTGAATTAAGTTGTAACAACTATGGATTTCAGCATAAGTGCATGCTGCAAGACTGTGCGAGATTGGATTGGCAGTGGAACCATATTGGGGCAAGTATCAGATCATATACAATGACATGAGATCCTCAACTTGTTGTAGTTTATCCTTACAGCTGAGAACCACAAATCAGTAGGCACAATTTGCTAGCAATTCAATAGAGTGGACAGATCGCCTCATTTTTAATCCTACAGAAAGTGGGTGTTTGATGTATCCTGATCTAATTCCACCAAACTTCTGAGACTGTGGGTGGACGTTTTTTCTATTAATGGAAATTATGGGTGTTTCTACCTCTATTATCCAAAAGACATCCGCCTAACTAGTACTGTCTGTGATGTCATTTTCTTTTCCTCATCTTCGCTAGTGATAACTGATAAAGACTACAATAAAAATCATGCTCATCGTTTCAGGCAATGATCTTGTTCCGTTGTTCGTTTCATCACTCGGTAGACCACAAGCATTATGCGAAAGCACTTGATGTTATCTTTCTTTTCTCCCCCAAATCCTAGCTTGTAGTTCTTCCCAAACGTGAGACCATGCAAAACCAGAATATTATGCACAAAGGCGCGAATCATTTTGGTTCACCCTCATAGCTTATCGCTAGGCTATTGCAACTTTGCAAGGCAAGCTTGCAGATTCCCCAGTTCTGTAAAGAGACCCCAGTTCTGTGAAGAGATCTCACAGGATGAGAGGAATCACGCCCGGCCACTCATTCTACCTTAAGCTCTTGCCTAATCACTGCATGCAGAAGAAGAACAGGAGAGGAGAATCCTTTACATTCCTAAACGATCGACAACAACTAATGGCAGGCAAATCGGGGTTGAGGGCGGCCGGGAGGTGGGAACGGAGGGGGAGGGGGGCGGATGCGGAGGAGGCGGCCGCTGGAGACAGCCTCGCCGCCGCCATCTTCACGGTCGCGCCGAACTCTGACGGACAGCTCCGGCGGCGGGGGGCGTGCTCCCTCCTCGTAGTGACAGGAATGAGCCCAAGCTTGGCAGGCGGAATCATGCCAACGAATACAGATTAGGGAAGCTGAGTGGAGAGGGTGTGTACTGACCAGCCTTTGAGGATGAGGGTGCACTGATTGGTGGAAGCTGCCTCCTCCGCGTTCGCAGCCGGCGGCGGCACCGCACACTCCCTCTCCGCCTTTGCTCCCATTCCGCAAGCCCCAACCGCGATCCGAGAGAGAAGAGCAACTGAGCAAGTGGTGGAAAGAAATGGGCGTCCATGTGATATGACGGAGGTCCGTCCCCAGTCGGCAATCCCATGGCGTCGGCTGCAACCGGATTCTCTATCCGCCAATCCCATTCCTCGGATTCTCTGCGGAGCAAGGCATGTTGCCTCCTCCAAAAAGTTTTTTTTAAAAAAACTTTTTTTTAAAAAAAATTCTAGTCCCAGCTCGTCTTTTTTTTTCTCTAAAAAACTTCTCCCTGCCGCGACAGTGGTAGTCCGTCACTGACCTGCTGATGTGGCCACCCTGCCACGCCACCGCGTCTGGCGCGCGCCAACTCGCCTGACACGACAAGGGTGTATGCAAAGTAGTTTAGGGCCTGATTGGATCATTCCCATCTTCCTAAAATTCATATCACATTAAATATTTGAACACATGCATGGAGAATTAAATATAGACTAATTATGAAACTAATTGCACAACTTGCGACTAATTTACGAGACGAATCTTTTAAGCCTAATTAGTCCATGATTTGACAACGTGGTGCTACAGTAAACATGTGCTAATGATATATTAATTAGGCTTAAAAAATTCGTCTCGAAAATTAGCCTCCATCTATGTAATTGGTTTTTGTAATTAATTTATGTTTAATGCTCTTTATTAGCCTCTAAATATTTGATGTGACATAAATTTTAGGAGCGACTAAAGAAACAAACACCCCCTTAGGTAGATCGATTATGAGGCTGTTCGGCTGGCTCTGTCACTCACGAAATCACCGTTTACGTCAAAATAGTATTTTTCTCTCATAACAATCAGCTGAAACAGTATTTTTTAGTCCTACCGAATAGACCCTATGTCTACAAACTTGTGTTTAAGGTCTACCCTCGATTTTGTACTCGTAAATCTAGTTGCTCGTCCTCTATGTGGTTAGTTTAGGACTTGTACTTAAATCAAATTGGTGATAGTTTAGTTAGTATGTTAAGGTCACATTACTTAGAATCAATTTGAATACTTGATGTAGTTTGCTCAAATGCTTTTGTAGACAAATAGTTTAGTCCGTTTGTTTCATGGAGAAAGAGTTAAAGAAGATGAGGACTTTGAAAATATTGTAGGCGTTGCATTTGTGGACGTGCTCCTTTCAGCAGTGTGCCATCTGTTAACATGGTAGGCGTTGCATTCATGAAAGGAGAACTCCATGATGCCAGAGTACTCCGATGCCGAACCTACAACCATCCTCTCAAATGGTAATGCCCACTTGGACTTGTTCTGCATTTGCTCGTTCATCCATGTCTTTGCCTCCTTGTTTAGTACCTTGTCAAGTTCTTTCTTTCTCTCTTCAAATTGATGCTCTGTCAGTGCTATACAAGGAGCCTTTACCTTCTCCCTGTTTGTTTGGGCTGGTTTGGCTTATAAGCCATGGCTGAAAGCACTATTGGCTGGTTTGGTGTGAGAGAAAAATATTATTCGTTGACTGATAAGCCATGGCTTATAAGCCAAATACGACCAAGCGAACAGGCTGTCTCATGCACCATATATATTTTTTTTGCGAATTACACCAGTACAGACGTAGACGCTCAACATGTACGCACACTCACCCCCTATAAACACATGTACGCAAACCCTACCTCTATGAATATATCCGAAAAACTGTGCCGACACATCTCGAGATTGACGAAGTCACCGCAGGCGCTTCGCTGTCGACGGGAACGTCGCCTATCACCGCCATTAAATCATGTAATAAATCCAGAAAAATGCTAACACCCGTGCTAAGTCGAGGACTTGAACCAACTTAAACTAAGCTCAGTTCGCATGCACCATCTATGTTGTAAAGGTGGAAACCCATCAAGATCTTCGGGCCTGTTCGACTGGTATTAAAGCCGACTGATAAGTCGGCTGAAGCTGTTTTATTATGAGAGAAAAATATTGTAGATTCTAACGGATAAGTCGGCTGATAAGTTTAAGCGAACAGAGCCGTTCTTCGACAGCATTTAGTAGTCCATGGTGCCGATCTAAGATCATACATATACTGCGAGACCTACCAAGCACATTTTTTCGTAGAAGCTGCATGAACCAGGACCATGTATTGTTGGTTTGTCCCTCTGCCAATGAAAATGCTAGTGGCACTGTCTGCTCCTCCGGGTCAACAGCTGCCGCCATCGTCAATATACCCCTCTTGCCGGTAAGGAAAGTGGCATCCGTAAGTATCATTGGCCGACAACACTGCAAAGATTGTTCCGGCGAAAAGGACCAAAACACAGGCTGCAGGACATGTGTTTTCTCAACAGTAGAGGAAAGAAAGTACTTCACTCATGTGAATGGGAACCATTTTAGGCAGGGGTTGTAATAAACCATTGCACACAATTTCCTCGGCACCTGTTGTTGTATGCTTCCATCTAACTGTTGTTGTATGCTTCCTTCTAACCACTCCAATGCATCTCAGGTGGTTGCTTCCCACGCCACACTTTTCCGTACTCGGACCGATAACAGATGAAGCCAAATATGGACTCAATAAACAGCGCCATGGAAATGTCGCAGCATCCACGAGGCCCATTATGCGACGGGAAATGTAACTTGCCGTGCACTGAGAATGTTCTTGACTGATTTCTCTCATAAACTGGGTTAATTTTATTTCATCTTAACGAAAGACCCATTGTATTAAAAAAAAAGAAACCAAGCATACTAAGAAAGGACGGGGAAGAAGATTATCGTCGACCTTTTTATGCATCAAAATCAGAGAATGAGAGAAATGAACATTAGTTGTACAAGAACTCAGCGCACTGGACAGCTGGTTCCACACTCGGTTTTGTTAGGATAGACAGGGATTAGACCACATCCCTACATTGCAAGAAATCACTCCAAACCGTCACCTCCAAAACAGCGTTCCACGGATTCTGTTAGCAGCTACTACTAGTTACCTATGGCCTACACCTAGGCAGCTACTTACACCATGTAAGAAGCATCCTCTTCACCGTTGCCTGTGGCATGCCACCCATCACTCACCTGGTGCTTGCAGATTGGGCATGTACCTTGTTGGCGCAGCCATGGGTCGATGCAGTTTACGTGAAACTGTAAAACAAAAGAGAAAGTAAGAAATCTTGCAGTGGACTGTTCCCTCATCAGGACACATCACATTAGCACTTTTTTTTTCAAAGAGCTCTGCCTTGCATTGAAGGGAGAAAACAGAACACGAAGTTTTACCAAGGGTAGCTCCAACACTGTTTGAAGAGCTAGGTCATAAAATATTTTTATTGAATACACAGAAGAGATAATGATAAGTTAAAGAGCTAAGCTCAAACACTTCTTTTGTATGTTGTGTTACTCTATTTTTATCTTTTTTTTTCTTTAAGTTCATATGAGCTAGCAAGTTGACTCTATTGTTAAGAGTGCTCTAAGGGGTAGACAAGCCTCAATAGGCTAAAAGACAACCCAAGACCTTGAGATAGACAAACCACAAAGAATCAGAAACAAAATGCACATGAAGGCCTCTAACACTAGTTTTGAAAAGCACGTTGTTGTTGTTCAAAGTCCTGTTTTGTGCGTAGCACAATCGATACAGGCGTGGGGCAATCATTTTGGAAAATCCGCCGATTTCTTTCTTTCCACAAATTCCACATGATGTAGATGCATAACCCGTTGAAGTGTCATCTGTTATCTTCTTTCCAAAATTCCACCAATTTTTAATGTTAGTGCAATTTGCAACCTGTACATGCAGAGGTAAAGAGCAATGCCCCCACACTAGCACCCTCCTCCAGACGTCAACCGCGAAGGGTCATAACAGACACATATGGAGGCCCGTCTCCTGTTCCCCATGACAAAGGGCACAAGAAGTTTGATGTGGCCATCCCCTCTTTGCTAGATTATCTACTGTTAGGATTTTATCTTGGATTAGGGTCCATGCGAAGAACTTGCATTTGTTTTCTGTCACTGCATCACATTAGCACTATATTGGACATATCTTCAAAGCGTTGATTTTCATGTATGCACTTGTAACAACATGACAACATCAGTCCTCCATAGGACAACACAAGCTGACTGCTGACATGCGCCTGCACTGCATACACAGGCCTCAAAAGCTAGGCCGTGCTTACGGGCAAGGTTATAACAGGTCTTGTACAATAGTCTCTTAGGTTCCTACCAACCTTCAAATATAGGAAGCCAATGGCGTGGCGAGACAGAGTGGGGGAGTCGAGATCACACCTCTATTGCCCCTTAATCCTATTTCACTTGTGATTCCTGGTCTATATTGTTGTTTAGAAACATGTGATTCCTGATATTATAATCAGGCGTGGGTAAAAATATGACAAATTAGAACTCTATGGGGCAAAGAATGAGAAAGCAAAGGAAGTTATTGATGTGTCAAGTAACCAGTCAAATTTAAGTTTGCTTCAAAAAACTCACAGAATTTCAGATCTGAGTGTAAAGAATATAAACTACAACGACACACTCCCTACTTTCTGTTCTGCAGAATCAACAACATAGCACCTCACACTGGTGCATACTCCCTCCAGTAGTCCAGTCAGAAACAAGTGGTGGTTTGATTTTAAATTCTGGTTACACATTACTTGTTATATTCTAAGTGTGGATATTTGAAAATTATTTGGGTAGTTTTGTCTCGGAAGTTTCATAAACTATTTTTTTCTATGTTCTATAAATATTTTGTAGCAAGAAGTATCATTCAAAGTTGCACTTTGGAGAATGTGTCCAATAAGTCACTTATCTATGAAGAGGTAGCATGAAGCAAGTGGTCAACCAAGTGCAAGATGTAAACTGTAGAGTAAGATATGATATATGCAAACAATAACAGTTAAAAAAACTTTTATCTTAAGTATGTCACAATATCACAGCATTCATCCACAAAATGTGTTAAGTACATCAAACATGATTCTGGTTTCACGGCATTGTTTTAGGATGTTAGCTAACATGTCAAGTTACCATATCAAACTAGAGCTAAAAGGTGCTGCCAGGATCATTTCAGAAAGGAAACAAAACCGAGATCATCTGCTGTTTCCATACAAGGAAAACCAAGGGCAAGATAATGAGCATGATTACCTGATGCAAGCATGGTAGGCTTCTCAACAGATCACCCACCGCGACTTGCTCTAAGCAAACACTACATGTTAGTTCATCCTCTGGAGTTTTGCTGGTTCCATCTGCTTTTAGACCATCCTGCTTTTTCTGCAAGGCAGAATCGAGTTAAACAATAATCATCGTGGCCCAAAGTCTGAACCATGCATGTGCTACTGCACAGACGCTGATGGTGATCAGTGATCACAGCAGCTATGTGATTCTAAACACTAGCTGTTACATCAAATAAGAAAGTGTAAACTAGAAAATCCTTGACTCAAAATATCATATAAATCCCAAAGCTAACCAGAAAACAACCAATAACTTCAATAAATGAGGGCTGAACCAAAAGTGTATTGCCCAGTTATACAGATATGTAAAATACATATATGTTAATCTTATCTTTACAATGGAATATTATAAGAATATCATTGCATATGCATACGAATGACAACTGTGACGTCACAAATAACATGACTTTTTAACAGCCTACATGATTGAATATAAATAAGATACTTTTCAAGCGACCACACCTTGAGAAACAAGTCAGTATTTATCAATTACCTCATTGCCAGACCCAGTTGAAGAAACCGATAGCTGAGATGGCCCATCACTATTGAAAAACATTCGTTAGAAACACATCATAGAGACAAATTACTCCATGTCTCCATTTCAGAATTAAATGTTTGGTCATGTGTTGATGATGGGAGATACTGGAACCAACTTGACATGGCCATATGAACAAATCAACCCAAAGGATAATTCGCCTTACCTTTTTCGGGCAGGGGCATTCCCCTGCTGCGCCTGAACTTTATATTTGAATACAGGAAGATAATTTATTTCTTCTTCACTCATAGAAGGAGCATGCGGGCTATTGTCAGCATCCAATGTGCTCAGAGTGTCATAGTCTGAAACAAAATGATTTCCATGGCGCTAAGTTTTCAGGAAACACTGTAAACCATCAAATGAGTCGAATGGAATGTATTGGCACACCTAAATCGTCAAATTCACGATCAAGAAGAGCCAGTTGAAGTCTAAGGCTCTGTAACCGGCCTCTCGTAGCAAGGGCAATGGTTGGCGGTACATGCACACGCAGCTCAGTGTGGCCAAGAAAACTGTTGGCAGCTGCAGCATGAGCAAGCTGCTGGCACGTGGCATACATTCTAAGGCTCGTGGCCATTAGGAAGACTCCCAAGACAAGCCAAACCTACAAGAGAAGAAAATATTGCGCAATCCAACAAATATGTAGTTATTAAACTGTTCCACAATTGCATGCTTTGTACGAATAAGAAACCAACTTTAATCGACTCATGGACACCTCGCACACAGCATGAAAACTTACCAAAAGATTGGGAGACATCTGGTGTGAGTTCAGTACCATGAACAAAACAAGAACTGCCCAAGAAAAAACACAATGTTAACCAAAAGAATAATCTTTAGCAGCTCAACAGTATTGGTAATAGACAGGCGAACGGATTACCAGTTAGAAGAAAAGCCAAGGAATTGCTATTCACCGGCCTGCTCCCTGCATGAATTCGCTACACGCAAGTACATATACGAATGGGATCAGACATCAGGACAAGGATGCCGGTTTAAGCTACACTACCACCAGTTACATGTTAGCAGAAATGCGTGATGGGTTGAGCAGACAGACACTCACCATGGCGCGGCGCTCGGGGGCAAACCCCGGGAAGCCACCGGCCTCGATGTCGGCCCTGCTCCCTCGGAACACGAAGCTCATGGTGCCCACCAGACGCTGCCACCGCCACTCTAAGGCGCAAGATTGGCTCCAAACTCCAAAGCCCCGCGCAGCAACGAATTTGCCCGTGAACCTGAGGCACCGATAAATATAAATGAAGTAAGCGCCGGAGAGCGACGCCCCAACCGAAATCTCAGCTAGAAACTCCGTCAGGCCAAGCGATCCGGTCGCGCCGTCGCGGGAAGCGAAATGCCGGGATAAACCCTGAAGCTTCCGGAAGCTTCGCCCAGCGCACGGCTTGGGCGCTGACCGGACCGAATCGGAAACCAGACGAGGAAGGCGAGGGGGAGTTCGAGGAGGGCGCGCACTTGATCGAAGGCGAGATACCTCCCGCCGCGGCGTCGAGCCAGCGATTCGCTCGCTGGCGGAGGACGAGAGCAGCAGCGCCTGCAACCTGCAGATGGGGAAAAGAGAGGGGGGACAGCAGGACTGCAGGAGCTAGAAAGGCTTCTGCGGTTTCGAGTTCGTGCGCCGCAGTGCCGGGCACCCTGTGGAGAGTGCGTGGCATTATCCGTGCCGTCCGTTTCGTGATGGACGGCGCACTTGGATCACGATAGCTAAAATTGAATACCACCATCCTTAAATTTATCCAAAGTTATAGAAAATTACTAACCTTTGTGATATAAAATAAATATTATTAGAATAATTATGAAATATAATTTCACAATAAGTTGATTCAAATATATTAATATGAACACTATTCACTGTTAATTTGGTCAGATTTAAACTACGAGCATGAATATCATAGCTACATTCTTATCATATTGTCATAAATAACTAGCCCATTCCTAGCAAATTTCATGCCAATTCTTTTTTCCCCAACAGATAAAAAGCTCCAGTAATAGATGCACCGACTATTTTAGAGTACACACATCAAGATTTGTTATGAAGCTGTTCCACGCTGTAGTTTGTGGAGTAGAGTCAGTAAAACAGTCATAAACAAGCCCTTAGATCATGGGAGCTGAAAATGAATAGTGTCCTCTAAATTTCAATAGAGCATACACTATCCCAGGCGCATGAGATAAGTTTTATAAGAAGAAACCTAAACGACCGAGAACAAAACAGTTGCTGAAAATAGCAAATGTATATTTTTATTTGTGGATGAAATTGTGCTATTCATATCGCATTCAAACTTTTAACATGTAAAAAAAACTGTGTAGTTAAAGTTTGGAACATTGGACTTTATATAGCTCGAAAACATTCGCTTACTCCTATTTGTGACCGGAGTGAATATATATTCATAATAATAACTATGTCTATATCAGCTTGTCACGGACTTGTATACCTCATCGCATAATATAGAGTATCCTATAAATGTCCATGCAGCCTCAGGCCCGGCGGCCCATCACAAAACCCTCAAATTTGGCCCGGCCCAAGCATGGCCCGGCCCGGTAGAGCAGGCCGTGCCTGGGCCTTACCCCAGGCACGGCGTGCTAGCCCGGCACGGCCCGGCCTTTAGGCTATGGCCCAGAAGCGGCCCGGCCTCCCCACCTCTCAACGCCAACGGCCCAGCCCAGCAGGCTCCCCCCCCTCGTATATAAATGAGCGGATGTGTCGGGTATCGATATTAGGGATACCCAAAGTAAGGAAGTTAGCGCCCACGCTAATTTCTCCGGATGGCTCGAGGCATATTAAAATGTCTCGCCCGACCTCTTGGGTGCGGACTCCATCTCGCCCGACCCCAAGGACACAGGTTCCGTCTTGCCCAAGGCCGCGGGCTCCGTCTCGCCCGACCTCGAGGCCGTGGGCTCCGTCTTGCCCGACCTCGAGGCCGCGGGCTCCATCTTGCCCGACCCCTTGGGTGTGAGCTCCGTCTCGCCTGACCCCAAGGATGCGGTTTCCGTCCCGCCCAAGGTCACAGGCTCCGTCTCGCCTGACCTTGAGGACGCGGGTTCCGTCTCGTCCGACGGGGACCCATACCGCCGCCAACCACTCCAGGTCCAGGCATATGGGCCTGGGTCAAAACTCTGACGCCAAGGAAGAGGCTGGCACGCTTCGATGTAACCCGTGGCCATGACAGGCCATACCTGGGGATTCACATCAAGAATAGTGTCGGGCGTGCTGGTGCTGTTCTGCCTAATCCTCGTACGGACGCTGACAGGCGCGTTAGTTCATCACGACGTAAGTCGGGATGGAGCAGAACGCCATGACCGGTAGATAATGCCTGCGCATGGTGCTAGTGACGAATAGGACAGCGACATGGAGCCGTCCATGTTGACATCTACATGATCGGTGGGACCCGCATGAAGGAGAAGAAGGACCCGATAGCCCTGGAAACCTTCTTCTCTCTCTTGTTCTTCTCCTTTTCCTTCTCTATAACCTGCGCTTTCCCTTTGCCTATAAAAGGGGAAGCAGGGCGCCCCATGAAAGGGGGATCTGAACACAAGAGCACGACATGAGCACACGGCTGAATGACAAGCGAGCTCTCAACACCCATTCACTCCTTCCATCAGAGACTTCGGATTCTCTCCCTCTCTCGCCTGTTTGTAACCCTGAAAGGTCCTAATATGGCTAGAGAGGGGTAAATAGCCTATTTAAGAATCTACAAATCAACTAGAGCAATTTGATTAGTATGACAAATAACGTAATGCAAACTTGCTCTAGCTCTACAAGAGTTGCAAGCCACTTATCCAACAATTCTAGTTGCAATGATTACTTAGTCACACAAACTTGCTATGTCACTACTCACTAAGAGCTCTCAATCTTGCTACTCTAAAGAGCTCAACTAGATGAATGTAAATAATAAAGCAAGCTCTCAATTCTAATTACACTAAAGAGCTTGTATCAACTAGTTTGCAAGAATGTAAATAAGTGAGTAGGGTGATTATACCGCCGTGTAGGGGATGAACCAATCACAAGATGAATATATAGCCAATCACCGGGAGAATGCCAAAGACAAGAGACAATCAATTTTCTCCCGAGGTTCACGTGCTTGCCAACACGCTATGTCCCCGTTGTGTCGACCAACACTTGGTGGTTCGGTGGCTAAGAGGTGTTTCACAAACCTCATCCACACGATAGGACACCGCAAGAACCGACCCATAAGTGAGGTAACTCAATGACACGAGCAATTTACTAGAGTTACCTTTCGGCACTCCGCCGGGGAAGGTACAACTCCCCTTACAATCACCGGAGATGGCCACGAACAATCACCAACTTGTGCCAATCCTCCACCGCTGTTCCAACCATCTAGGTGGTGGCAACCACCAAGAGAAACAAGCGAAATCCGCAGCGCAACACGAATGCCAAGTGCCTCTAGATGCAATCACTCAAGCAATGCACTTGGATTCTCTCCCAATCTCACAATGATGATGGATCAATGATGGAGATGAGTGAAAGAGCTTTGGCTAAGCTCACAAAGTTGCTATGTCAATGAAAATGGCCAAGAGAGTGAGCTTGAGCCGGCCATGGGGCTTAAATAGAAGTCCCCATAAAATAGAGCTGTTGTACCCCTTCACTGGGCACAACGCGGGTTGACCGGACGCTCCGGTCATGTTGACCGGACACTGGACCCAGCGTCCGGTCGCCCGATGTAAGCCACGTGTCATTCTGAGTTAAACCTGAGCCGCCAGATCTCAACGGCTATTGACTGATCGGACGCTCCGGCACGAGTGACCGGACGCTCAGACCCCAGTGTCCGGTCGTTTCCAGTAAGCTCCCAAAACCGACTTTTGCCGACCGGACGTGTCCGGACCACCTCGATCGGACATAGCCCAGCGTCCGGTGCAATGCCCTAGGTACTGTGCCGACATGTTAGTCAGACCGGACGCAGTCCAGCAGCGTCCGGTCAGTTGACCGACGCCAGCATCTTTACGACCAACTCCATTTCACTTCTAACTTCTCCACCCTTGCTCAAATGTGCCAACCACCAAGTGTATCACCTTGTGCACATGTGTTAGCATATTTTCATAAACATTTTCAAGGGTGTTAGCATTCCACTAGATCCTAAATACATATGCAATGAGTTAGAGCATCTAGTGGCACTTTGATAACCGCATTTCGATACGAGTTTCACCCCTCTTAATAGTAAGGCTATTGATCCTAAATGTGATCACATTCGCTAAGTGTCTCGATCACTAAAACAAAATGGCTCCTACAATTTATAACTTTGCCTTGAGCCTTTAGTTTTTCTCTTTCTTCTTTTCCAAGTTTAAGCATTTAATCATCACCATGCCATCACCATCGTCATGATCTTCGCCATTGCTTCATCACTTGGAGTAGTGCTACCTATCTCATAATCACTTTGATAAACTAGGTTAGCACTTAGGGTTTTATCAATTAACCAAAACCAAACTAGAGCTTTCAAACCCCTACTGCAAACCAAGTGTCGATAACACGAGCGGCAGCGAACTGGACGTAGGGACATTCCGCCCGAACCAGTATAAACCATTGTGTCCTCCAAGCACACCACTCGTCGGTGGTCCGAAAACACCAACAGGATGCGACGCCCTCCCCGTCCCTCTCACCCCGAACCCTAATCCATTTCACTCCACCCGCCACGCCGCTCTCTTGTCTCGTACTCTCGCCTCTCCGACTCCTCTATTGGCGACTGGCATTCGTCCTCCCCAACTCTAATTCCGGTGACCTCGATCCGCCTGCCGTCGGCGAGCCACTCTCTTCTCCTCCTCCCTCTCTGCCTCTCCCATCTCCCTCTCGCTCTCTTCCCTCTAGATCTCAGTGATTATGTGAGTTTAGGGTTTGTGTCACTGTTTGTCCCTCCTCCTTCGCTCGTCGTCCTTGCTAACCGGTGTGTCGTCTTCATTGGGTGGCCCTCGTCTTCTCTGGTACCGGGCTCCAGTTGTATAGGTAAAACCCTAACCTTAACCCTCCTCTTCTTCCATTGATCTATTATGATCTGATCTTTTCATCCTCCTCCATCTCTTTGCGTAGGTCGGTAGCCGATGCGTCGTCCTCTAGCTATGGCATAGAGCGACCAAGGCGGCCCCGCGCACCGTTGAGGAACGATGCTGGAGAGCCGTCCA